ACAAAATAGGCTATTTTAGCCATAACAAACAAAACATCACATCCAACCCATAATCATTACATTCTTCTCTCACAAAAAAACTCAAAAAAGCCAAAAAGCTAAAAAGTCCTTCCCAAACCAAGCTTTTAAGCCCAGGCTAAAATAGTCAAAAAAGCCAAAAAGCCAACCCACTTCCCAAACGGAGGCTCAATAAGAGACTATAAATAATTTTTGTATTAATTTTATATTCACTAGATATAAAAATAATAAATTTTATGTGTATATACCTACTTAATAATTGAAGGGATTTGAGCATCTTCAACAATAATTTATATTTTTTAAAAAGAAATGTGGATTTGACACCAAATTTTCAACTAACGTTTATCCCAACACTGCATATTCTCTCTCATTTTCTCATTTCCATCATTATATTGTTTTTATGATTTTTTAAAACTTTTCTAATCCTCAAAATGAACCATAAAAAGATGACAAAGATTGAATCTTATAAACAATGATAAAAGAATCTATAATTACCGGATCGATTTAAATTTTTTTATGAATAATATATATAATTTTTTTTACAAACCCGTGGTAGTAGACTCCATGGAACCAGATAACACCCTTCAATCTAAATTCTAGACAGGAGATTAGCCTAGTTCTTTTTGACCTCAAATTGGGGCAAAACCCTCCTCCACCTATAGGAAGACGACTGCAATTTGCAACTCAGCCTAACAAATGAGATATAAAAAACACCCAATTAAGGAACAACAGTGTTATAAATATATTTGGGGCTCAATATGGGGACTACAACACATTCTCTCTCTTTTCTTTTTTATAGTCGCAATACAAATTACAAATCCTCTTTGCTGCAATCTCATAAATTTCGTCAGTTTTTCTGCATCCAGAACGACATCATGAAGGGCTTATCATATCCAAGCCTGCTCTTTATTAAAAGATACATTGAGCCACTAAACTTGCAGCAAAACCTACTCATCTAAGGCCATAATAATGCATGTATAAGCACAAGTTGCTCAGAATTGGTTATGAAAGTGATTAGAGTTTTTCAAATTAAAAGCATCCAATGTGATTGAAAATATAGTCATCACAATATTTTTCACAATTAAGTCAAATTGGGACAGACTTATCCGATGCGTAAAACACTGGTCTATGTCAATGCCAAACGCCAACACAGAAAAGCAAACAACTTTTAAATTCATAAATATAACATCTGCAATACTAGCTTCTTCAATAGGTCCAAGTCTTAACACAAGATTATTCTCAAAATGCATAACTATATATATATATATATGGTCACAGTCAAGTACCCGGAACCAAGCTCTCACAGAAAATTATCTCAAGCTATCGGACTGAACTCACCACAATTACTGAGGATACCGCCTCTCAAAATGAGACTCGTGGCAGTGTGGATCTAGCCAATCCCTGGGGGAACCCTTTGACATATTGTTGGGTACTTTTCCACCACCACCACCAACAAGCTCATGCAGATTCTCCAACCTATTCTCCCGGCCAGTCCCGCTGACTCTCCGATCTGCTTCCTTTAGTTTTTGCTTGAACCGCTGCTTACGGCCAGAGGAAGAGTTTGTCTCCTGTTGTTTTGATTGTGGAGGAGCTCCGTGGGGTCCCAGGTATATTTTCTCTTCCTTTTTAGCCTGCCCAAGCAAAGTAAAGAAGTACATTCAGTTCACAAGTAAGCAAGCATATGCAGCCTTCTTTGATTGGGAACAATTAAAAAGCCACATTTTTTTCCAAACTTGATTGGTTTGTTTGGTTGTGTATTTTGAAAGTAGTTTTGAAATTTGAGAGTTTGGAATGATTTGATATTTTATTATAATTGAGTAGATGTGTGTGAGAGAAAAAGTGATTGAGAATGAGAGAGGAGAGAAAAAATGATTGATTGATGGATAAGAGAGAGAGTGATTTTGCAAATTGTTTTGGAAAATTTACAAACCGAACAAATTTTTTAGAAAATTTTTCCCAAAATTACTCTACAAATCCAAACCAAACATACCCGATGTCTTTCGTGAAAGTTTTTTAGATTTGTGTCAAAAAAATTTACTTTTTAGGTCAACCAAATCTAGAATGATCTAAAAAAAAAAGAGTAAACTTTTTTGGCTTTTTTTTTTTTCTTCTTTAGTGGACTTTTTGGGGAAAAGAATATGTTTAGTTTACTTTTCAAATCCATCTAGGCTAGTAATAATAAAACATAAAAGTACGAAGCTTTTTAAATTTTTTTTTTTAAAAAAAAAGTTCACTAAAGATGAAAAATAAAAACAATTGCTAAACCCCATAAAAACAAACTATTGCAACTCACCTTAGGGGAGGAAGGTTTGGAGTCTAGTTCTGGAGCATCGCTTTTACTAGAATCAGGATCTCCAATACCCAAGCTTGGAATCACAAATCCATCAGTGTCTAAATGCAAAACATCAGAGGCCATAAAAAATTAGTACGTCCACATACACTTCTTACAATTTTTTTAAATACTATGCCAATGACAGGAGATTTGATCTTATGAATAATTGTGATAGGTTAAATGCAAAAGGGGGCCAGGTTGAATGAAAAGAAAAAAAATGAAAACAGATAACTGCCTCCTAATTACTGCAAAATTAATTAGCCTTGTTAAATTGCACCAAAACATTCCAAACATCAACTCTCACATGACTCATATATTATGGTGTTTAACTAATCAATTATTTGTGATCTCCAAACTACAAAGAATTTGTTAGAGATTGTTTGCATGGCAGCCAATCAATATGGTCATGCCATCTTAGGAAGGAAAGCTTCAAAGAAGTTAAGCGATGGTTGAAACACACTTGCACTAAACCAGCTTTTTGTGTGTCATTGGTTCCAATCTCCCATTCCACACACACAGTCGCTTGATCCTCAGGTTTACACTCCTAGAGTGGGCCCAAAGGACTCTGCCTAGGGTGCACTTCCCGATTATCAAAAAAGAAAAAAGAGAGAGCTTAATAATTTCCAATTATAATTATTAGCTCTGGGAATTGTCTTGTTATTCTTTTGTGTTTTATCTTGGTCTAAACTGTTAGGAAGAAAGTCCATACAAAGCCCTCAAAGAAAATGATAAATTGTAAGAGTAGCGGTGTGTGTGTGTTTTACTATGACTCATCACTAAAGGGCCACCTTCCTTCTCTCCCTTCTTCCCATCTACAAAACCTGCCAAATCTCAATAAGTTAAGAATTCTTTTCAGCCATTAAAATTCCCAATGCCAATCATTCATTCCTTGAGTCTTATTAAAGTGTAGGTGTTTATTTGCATTCCTGTGTGTGAGCAAGTTGGAATGATTCAATCATCAAAAGAATTTGGCACAATATCAGTTCTAGGTACATTAGAATATAGAGATTGCTGATTATTTTATTAATCAAGGAGAAAAGAAACAAGGTTGCACCCAATACACATTTAGACATACATATACGCACAAGCATGCCTGCACACACATACACAAACTTGCAGGTGTCTTGTTTATTGGTTGCCAATCTTTTCCCCATCAAATGCACTAAAAAATTTTAGATACACAAGGGAGATGATAAAAGCAAGCAAAAGGCCTCATAACCAGTCAATAGAAACAAATTAACGTTTATCTGCCCGTAAACAATATACTTTAATCACACACGGAGCATTCTAGAGACGATATGAACAAAGCAGTCACAATCCATTTTCAAACCAGAGCACTATAGCAGAGTAGAGATTGATAATGAATATGTACTATTCTGAACAACACAAAATCAAATTTTGAATCTAAGATTTGTTGAGGGAAAAGAAAGAAGGAAAATAAAGTAGAATTACTTTTTTTTTTCCCCCTTAAAAGAAATTTTTAATTCACTTTCTTCACAATTTCTTAACCCAAACAAACAAAAGCAAATAATTTTAGCTTCTCTCCTTTGTTTTCCTTCCTCTCTCAACAAATCCTAGAACCAGATATGAAAACAATTGGTACATTATGATGGGTTTGCTGATTGAATCCTAAGGAACCCTAAACAGAAAAATATATGAAATTGGGCATAAATTCAAAAGATTCAAAATTGAAAGGTAAAATGAAACTTTCTAGGAAACCAAACAGAGGGAGATGAAGGAGAAGAGAGAGAATGGCTTACCCCACTCATCATCTTCTTCTTGGAGGGAAGGAGTGGCGTGCACTGAAGAAGGATCCATGGAATACAGATGATGATCATGGATTTGGATTAGCCACAGGGCGCTAAAAGCCCACTACTCGGACGAGTCTCTCTCTCTCTCTCCACCCAATGCGATATGCCAAAATAGATTGATGAATCGAACAATCGAAACAACAAAAATATCACAACTTTAATTCCCAATCTGGAAACGACTGATCTGGAAAGGTACGCAGTGCAAAAACCCTAACCCTAGAAACGACTGATGTGCAATAACACTGTTGTGTAGCTTAAATGACCAAATTACCCCTGGTAATGCGTAGGACAAGAGTAGGAATGTAAAACGAGCCGATCAATTAAGATTATGGCAAGTTTGACATATTTTAAATAATTTAGTTTTTTATTTATTTTTATCACATTATCTTTATATTTTTTTGTATATTTTTTTGTAAAAAAATAAAAAGTACACTTATTTAAATTATTTCAAATAACCCCTAGGTTTGATATCCCCTAAAAAAGTCGAAAAGTCAAAAAGTTATTATTCTATTTAAGTCATATCATTTTATTTAAGTTATATCACCTCTTTACCACATCACTTCAAACTCAACCCATATTTCATAAAAAGTTAAAAAGTATACTTATTTAGAATATTACAAACAATCCCTGTTTAAACTTAGGTTTAAAAATTTTAACCAACTTACAATTTTATTTAAAATTAATTTGTTAAATTTTTAAGCCGATGTCAAATAAATTTCTCCTGAATCAAGCTTGAGTAGCTTGATATTTTTTGTATAATTTAAAAATTAACGAACCGAGTTGGACAATAAATTGATTGTTTAGTTTTGTTCAATAACTTTAACAATTTCTAAATAATATTCAGAATTGACTTATTCACCTAACGAATTAAATTCGAATAAGTTTTTAATGGTACAAACAAAAATTGAGCTTGTGCGGTTTAACGACACCCTAGATGTGGAGGGTAACTTAGTCAATTAATAAGTGATGGATTTGAATGGGAAAGTTTGGGGAGCCTCTATTTACACACCGCATTTCATCTTAAAGCACATCACTACTCAAGGCACACCTTTAGTAATTTGATAAATACAAAATTTGCTCAATATACACTACAATCTTCCATTTTTACCCTTACTCACACACTGCACTCATATCTTCCATCTTCACTCTTACACTGGTCTATCAAACATTAACGTTTTGTCTGGAGTGTTTCTGTCAAACAAATTCAATATGTTCGACATTTTAGTGTCAAACTTAAGTTATCTATTTAGACTTGGTCTGTCGAACAATTTCAATAAGTTCGAAATGTGAGTGTCGAACAAAATTGAATCGCGACTATTGGATCTCACAGTTCGAAATTTAAATTAGTTTAAGAAAAGATGACCTTAGTGACTTCAGAACCTACAATATGCTAACAGGCTTATAAAGGCCCATTCACACTATCAGCTCCAGATGGTACAAGAGTTGTAAGCCAAGCAAAGTTCAACACTATAAAATCAAACATATATAATTTGTTCGGTTGTAGATAGTTGAACATGGATATATTGTTCGACTCTGGATAACCAAATAAATACAAACGGTCTACTGCTCAGCAAGTAAACGAAAACGAAATAAAAAATAAAAAACTATCCTTTCTTTGCTCCATTGTTCCAAACCAATATTGTCAGATGCATCCATCATTCGGTCCAATCAAAATCTTCAATAGTACATATATTTTTGGTTATTTCTTTGAGAGTTTTTGATTTTCTTGGTTGTTTCTTTAAGGGTTTTTGATTTTTGTCTCAGGGTTTTTAGATTCTTCAAAGAGAAGATACATAAATAATGTTTAAAATACTTGGTGTGTATTGTATTTATTATAGTCTTTTATGGTAATTTTACAAAAGGTGTGTATCATAGTCATTTGTCCTTTGTGGTCATTTTACATAGGGTTAATATTGTTATAAAAATTAAACCAATTAATTGTGTACCTTGAGATGAAATGTGGTGTGTAAATAGAGGCTCCTGAAAGTTTGTGCATTGGTTGATGAGTGGTGTGCATGAGATAAAAATCATAAGTGGGGGCCCACTAATGGGCACCTGTCATTTTAATGGGGATCTTACATTGGTGGTGGAAACAACAATGATAGAGACCCCTCAAAAAATACAATTCCCACAACCCCCAAAATAATCTAAACCATTCATGTCACTGCCAGATATAACTCTCCAAAAAAATTCAAACATATCAATGGTCAATATTTCATTAGGGGTCATGGGGGTCCTCTTTGCAGAGGTCCCAAACTTTTTCTGTGATGGAAAATGGGTCTGTGGAAAAAAGTTTATTCCTCTTGATTGGAGAGGTATTTATAAATTTGTCCCCTTTTTAAAATTACAAAAAAATAAAATAAAATAAAAATTTGAATATTTGATCTTGATAATAAATTAAATTATAATTTTTTAATTATTTTAATTTAAACTCTTAATTTAAAATATATATATATATTATTTATTCATTAATTAAAATTAACAAAACATGAGCAATTTAAATAATTTAATAATTTTTTATTGGTGGTAGTGTTATGAAGTAGGGATAGAATGAAAAGTGTGGTAATAAGTTGAGGAAGAGAAGGAGAAGTATTTTTTTTATCAAAAAAAAAGAATAATCTGTGGGAGTATCATAACTTCCTCAAACCCTAACCTTGGTGTAGCGGGTTGATAATCAGATTTAACTTAACCCAAATTAAGAGATTCTCCATTGGGGTAATAATAGGCTCCACATCCACTTCATAATAAAAGTCTTAGGGCTTTGTGATATGAGTACAATACAATCTTTTGCGCTTTCCAAGTATTGATCCTACACATCTTGTTTGGAAGGATAAGAAAGCTCTACTGGACCACTACCCCCAGTTGTAAGAAGAAGTAGTATTGGACTAGGAAATTGATGAAGGGATGATGGTGGATTGAAAAAACATGACGAATGGTGATAGATGTAAGTAAGAGTAAAAGTTAACTATCAATAGTAATGAAGGACTTGTTGAAAGTGTTGCCAATTCACTCTCTAGATGGGCGATATGACCGTTAGAGAAACCCAGTGCTTCCATGGAAGCTCCACTGAAGAGATTAATCTTCTTATTCGTAGCAACAAAAAAATTAAGGTTACGACAAGAGTTGAAGATGAGAGTATGGAAGAAAGCCCTGTGTCTGAGATGGGAGGGGAACTTCCTCTCCAAGGTCGAGTACTAGAACAAAGGATGGTGTAGACACCCCATTTTTGACCACCCGTAAGACTTAAGCACTTGGTCCAACGCACTCAATGATGAAAACTACATTGTGTGATTCAAGTTCTCAGTGAGGGAATTCAAGGCTGAGTCCTGTAATCATCCCAAAACCTTCTTACTTGCCTTATTCTTACCTCAGAGGTTCTTTTTTGAACATTGTGCTACCTTATACTAACCCTAAAACAGGGAAATGAGATAGCATTTTAGGGTTCGGCCGTGCCCCATTCAGAGCCGGCCGTGGCTATTTGGGCCCGGTCGTGCCTTGCTGGCGATATACACTGTTCTGGGCGAGAGCCCGCCAGCTGTCTTTTTTTGAGGATATTTTCAACATTTTTTGCTCAAATTCTATAAAAACGAGGTTATACCTCTGTTTAGAGGGCTGAAAATTTTCAAAATAGCATATGCACACAAAAGAGAGCTCATTCTTCCTATACAAGTCACTTTTGAGCCAATCTATCTCTCTGGATCAATACCCATACACCATACATCACCTTAGATCATAACCTTAGAGCTTTGGTTTAGGCTTGGGCATCACAATTCAAGCTTGAGAGTGTGCTTGAACCAAGTTTGTGTTACAAACAAGAGCTTACTTCTTTGAGAGGTATAAGCTTACTACATTCTCTTTTACTTCTTGTTCTATCTCTTGCTATCTACTTCTTGTGTTTTTATGCTTTCTTGAATCCATTTCAAGTGTTTAAACTTGGGTTTGGATAGCTACCAAAGGGTAGAGAAGGTTAACACATTCTCTTACACTTTGTTTCATAGCTCAAGCCCTTATTTTTATATTCTTTTCTTTGCCTTTTAAATTGATTTTTAGAGCTTGGAAAAGGCTAAAAAAACATGGTTTGAGGTCTCAAAATATGGGGAGGTTACCTCTCCCTGCTTTTGTTCACTAGCTTTGCTTTATCTTATTCTTTCTTACCTTTTTATGCTCTCTAACATGACTTTTGGTCATTGTTTTTAGCATATTATGGGTTGTTTTAGGGCTGTTACAATTTATTTAATTATTATATGCTTGAATATCAAAGCTTATTGCATTGTAAGTCTTCACATCTAGCTTGTTATGTTGTGTTATACATGCTTTGATAGCATTTCCATGGTTAATCAAGAATCAATCTCGCAATCATGTTTGCAATCTTCCCCTTTCTTCTTTTCTTCTTGTTTGAGAGTTATTTCAACCGGTTGATGATTATTCGAAATATGAGTGTAGACGCGCCCCGGGGACTCCCGAGCTCCGCGCCTGCGAGGGCGTGAATCTCGTTTGTTCTCTAGCTACTACAGTTCGGACTCAATGTCACAGTTCTGAATCTAATCTCGTAAAGTGCAATGTAAGATCGATAAATCACCAAAGAGTCCAAATCTGGCAAATCGTTTTGGAAAATTGATTTTTATAAAGAAGTGCCAAACATGGACTGCTATGCCAGATACAGAGTCACCACCTAAATATTTTATTTTGGGAAAATTTAGGAAACCCTGACTCGTGCCTAAGGCCACGTGTCCGTCATCACCAAAGTTACCTCGGCTCGGGAACTTAGGTATGAGAGGGGAAGGTCATGCAATGAGCACCCCCACTCGCCCGATCAAAGATCGGCCTTTACTAAGTATGATATGTTATTTTTGAAAACACATATGTTCTTATTCCGGTTATTTAATCTAGAATATGTGATGCGCACAATATACAAGTATAGATTAGATCGCCTAAGTTGGAACAAAACATTGCATATTCGTTTGTGTAAATGATTTGAAGTTTGCTACTCGCAAGTAGGCTAAAACGAGGATTTTGATGAATTGTTCCAATTTAAGTAATCCGACCTTCACCCACAGGCATTCAGATAGTTATATCAAATAAGCAGTTAGCCTCATGGCAAGCATGCTTAACATGACAGTCAATAACACACATGCAGTATGCTAAAGCGTAAACACTCACAGTGTACTCCGAGCCAAAACAGAGAACTGGTTAGAAATCAT